TTCATCAAGAATTTCAATGTCCATTATTCAATCTATTCAAACTTTGATGAATTAAAAAAAATTGGTATGTGGATGAGCTAACCCAAAATAGAAAGATAGCACGTACTTTAATAGGGATCACTCCCAAAAAATTCCGCTCGTGAAACCTTAGTTTTCTTGATGGATTCTTGATCTTTCTTTCCGTTTCTCCTTCTCTTCTCTTTTCTCCTAAGCCCTAAGCGTGAATTAGTTTTCTAAAACTGACTTAAGGATTATTTTTACTCCTAATAAACCCTTAAAAATAATTAGGAAATAGTTGGGTGAAATGACAAGTTTACCCCACTAAAATCAAGATTAGGACCTTTCTCAACCCAACAACCCAACTTTCGATAGGCACATATCCCCTATACAGTATCAAAAATGTTCAAACTCAGCAAATTTGGTATGATCTCTCTAAGGGCCTTCCAAATATATATAAAAAGGGACTTTAAATCATCTTGAGATAGAAGCTATAACCGTTCTAAGATGACCAAAACTCAATTTCTTAATTTAGTAAATTTTCCAAATTTTACCTACTCTTTCCAAAAGAGATTATTTTTAGTTTCTTAACTTATTATAGGAAATTATGATTTGCAGATGTTACACTGATGGGAAATTTTACAATCTCCCCCTTGGGACAAAACCTCAACTCTCTAGTGATGGACTGCACACTTTAGTTGAAGTAATATCAGATTAATGTCTTGCTTTTTCCATAGCCTCCACTACCAATGAGGATTTTTCCCCATTCTAAATTGTTACACCACCATCACATATTCTCTTTAAAAAAATCCTAAGCGAGCAAGCCAGTGAAAATTCTTTGCTAGTTCCTTTCTTTCTTTCTCTACATGTGTCATACTACCCATCGATAATCAACTGAGTATCAAGTCATCTCCGCCGATGAAGATTCAACTCTTTCTAGGTGAACTCATATTGAAGGCTCTTATAGTCTATAGTCTGTGACCACATATACGTGAACACCATATAAGTAATCCCTCCAAAGATAACCTTAAGTTTTTTAGAAGCATATAATATAACCTTATCTCACTTTAAAACACACAACCTAGGCCGACTGAGGATGCACCCCAGTAGATAACATAACTGTCTGAACCCTCAGGTAAAGTAACAACAAGAGTTATAGTCAACCTAGTTTTCAATTTTGTGAAGATTTTTTCATAATCACCTGACCACTGAAACCTAACCTTCAATGTGGGGTGGAAGCGGAATTAAAAGGAATTAAGAGTGAGAGAGAGATGTATTTGAAAGGGTTGATCTTATTATGAGGGAGAACCCTCTATTTATACAACCAAATTTACATGTATGGCCATTATAAATGGCCGACACTTACTTTTACACATGGCCTAATTATGTTCGGCCGATGCATAACGACAAAAGACTTTACATGATAGTGGCCTTCACTTTATTTATGGCCGACACAACGTTTTACATACGGCCTTCTTTTATATGGCCAACGCAAAACAACAAAATACAATAATACTATTACAATAATATTATTTTTACATTAATATCTTTTTTGTAAATAAGCAATTTATCTTATTCTAGTTGTACCTCAGGGATTATGTCATCACCTTTGTTATACTTAGAACATATATGGTCTGGATATTTATGACCGACGAATTTGCAATATCTTGTCATTAGTTCTTCAGAGATGAATCCTTGTTTTATTGCTCTAGTTGTTGGAGTAGCTTCTAGTTTTAATAAGGACAAAATCCATTTCTGGACTTCCTCCATATCTGCTTGCCTTATTTCTCGCGAATTGGCATATATCATTAAATGTTCTCTTGAATAATAGCTCCATATGATTTTTCCTTGTAAATAGTTATTAACTAATTCCTGTATGATAGTTGATAACTCAATTATTCTTTTGTTTGCATAAAAACTGGGTATCTCAACTTTTGGTATCTCTGGCTGTTGCCCTATGTCTTCTGGTATTATCATCTCTCGTGTTAATCCAATTTTTACTATTTTGATCATTGGTTTTATCTCGTCATAAAGTATCTCATCTGATGCTGTATAGAATCTTATAAAAAATAAGTTTCCTTTTGTTATTATTGGTATATCAAAAATGATTTGTGGACCTCCGGGATTCCACCTATATCTTCTCATGTATATGTATAAACTGTATTTAATAGTCCATAATTATAACAAGTCTTCACTAGATTTGGATTCGTTTTTGGTTGTGCAATTTGCTTGTTATAACCTTGTAATTTTTGGGTTAGATAGTCCTGGGTTTTTTCTGTGGTTGTGGTAGATTTGGGTTTGAGATTTAAAATTTTTTGTATTTTGTATAGGTTTTCAATGTAAGCTTGGGATATATGGTTATATGTTTTCTTTTCCTTATGCAGGTTGGCTGTATATGTAGATGTTTGTGGTGTTGGGGTATCTACTATTTGTACCTTTGGGATAAATGATTTTGTAAATAAGCTGTTTAGGTTTGTATTTTTCGATGTAGTTTTTTCCATAGCTCCTATGCTTGTACCTGCAACATTAGCAATGGTATGGGTTTTAGGGAGTTTCCCAACGTCTCCTTTTAGCTCTGGCTGTTTACCGTTTGCCGAACGATGTAGCTCCACATGTTTATAGTCATGCTGCTGACTTGTAGCTTTAGATTTTTCTGCATTTTCTTCTAGCTTTTGAACTCTCAAGCCTATACTATTCACTTTTGTACAAAGTGTAGTTAGGCTTTTGAGTATGTTCTCCATAAGATTATCTTGTTCTGGCTTTGTAACTTTGTCTTGATAGATAGTCTGCAATCATATTTTTATCAGTTTTAATTACCTCAATTGCAAATGTAAAATTTAATATATTTAATACTAATCTCCTTATTTCTTTTGTTGTAACTGAATCCTCTACCATTTTTGTTATCCACCATTTTACCTGTGTGTTATCTTTTCTTACAATAAATTTATTGTAAACAATACATGGTTCAAATGCTAATAAACATTTATATAATGCAAATAATTCATTTGTTTATTTCCCATTTTATTTGTGCTTCTGCATAAGATCCTGAATAATATCTACAATGGTGTTCTGTTTTTTCTTTTTCATATTTGTATTTTAAAACTCCTCCATATTTATGATCACTTTAATCTGTTTCAACAATATAAATAAATGTTCTATTTTCAGAAGGAAAGTAAAGTTTTGGTAATTTTTTACATAAATTCTTAATATTTCTTATATGTTCTTTATCTTTATTGTCGAAATAATATTCTATATCTTTTTTAAGTTTTTTGTGTAATGATTTTAAATGGTCTGCTAATTTTGGTATATATTCTCTTACTTGATTTACTAATCCTAGAAAGGATTGTAATTTCTTTTTCGTATCTATATTTTCATCAAGGGTGATTATTTTTTGTACTATATGTTTTTGTATTTTTATTCCATTCTTATCTATTTGTATTCCTAGAAATTCTATTTGTGGTTTCATAATTTCTGCTTTCTTCTTACTTAAGCTTATACTTGAATGTTTGATTATATTTATAAATTTTTCTAATAATCTTATATGTTCATCTTGTGTTTTAGAATATAATAATATATCATCTATATATACAATACAATTTTCTAACTGGTTAAAGTGGTTGTCCATAAAATGTTGATATCTACCTGGTGCATTCTTATATCCAAATGGTAACACATTTCATTCATAGAAACCTTGCGGTACTGTGAATGCTGTTAGCTGTTTAGATTCTTCTTTTAGTTTTAGGTGATAAAATCCTGATTTACAATCAAATTTACTGAAATAATTATACGCTTGTATCTGTCTTATTTTTAGTATTTTATTTTGTATTGGGTAATTATATGTTTTAGTTTTAGCATTTGAGTTGCGATAATCTATAACCATCCTGCTTTTGCCTCTTTTTTGTTCACTATGTTTTATAACTATAAATGCTGGACTTGTATGTTTACTATTACTTTCTCGTATGTAATTATTTTCTAATAGTTCATCTATATGTATTTTGAATTCTTTTAAATCATCAAAGTTATATTTTAATGGTTTCTGTATTATTATTCTACTTTCATCTATTAGTTCAAGTTTTACTTTTGTCTTACGTTTTTCCCATCCTTGTAATGGATCTTCGTTATATAGTTGTTCTAGTTGTTTATTTATTATTTTAACTTTATCTATTGTAAATATGATAATTTCTAATTGTGATATTTGTTTCTTATTTATATTTTCAATTTCTTGATTTATTTTTTCACTTTTTTTATCCATTCTGTAGTTTTTCGTTGTTTATTATTTACTCTTTTTGCTCCTATTTTGTTTCCGCATGGTGTAGTAAACCACCAGTGTGTTTTTGTTTTTATATGTGGCTAGAATTTATCTAAAAAGTACATTCCTAGTAACATATCTTTTGTTGTGAACTCAAAATTATAAATTTCTTCTATCATTAATATCTTATCCCATATTTGTATTTTTATATTTTTGTTTTGTATTTAATCATACTTCCTTCATTATTAAATCCTGTTACTACCATAGGTGTTTTTTATTTTTTCCATTTATCTTCTGGTAGACAATTATATTTACATATATACGCTTCTGCTCTTGTATCTATCATAGGGATATAATATCTGTTGTGATATCCTTCTATAATAATTTTTGCAAGTATAAATATTTTCATTATTCATTTTCTTCTTTTTATAACTATTTTCTTATTTTGACAAGTTATTGTTAATTGTTCATTTTCTATATTGTATGGTTTAACTTTTTCTAACCATTTTATACCTAATGTAATATGATGATTTCCTTGGTATATTTCAAATGGTATTATTAAGGGTATTTGTAATGATCCTTTTGGTCGTTTTGAGAGTTAAAACCTTGTGTTTTATAAAATATCTTTCGTTAGATTTTAAATGGGTATTTTGAACTATTTCATAATTATAACTACGAAAGTAATGGGGTAGTTTTACTAATTTATTTAGTTAGTGGTTAGGAAAATAATATTAAAATAAATAATGGGTCACTTTTATCAAATTGTATAGTTGATTATATGATAATTAGGGTAGAAGTTTCTCTTTAGAAAAAGGAAGAAAATAAGAAAAGGGAGATTGCAGAGCAGCCTCGAAGAGGGACGGCAATTTCAGGTAAGAAATTAATCTTCGTATATTTTATACGTATGAACATAGATTGTAGGATTAAGAATTTAATAATGGCAATGACATTATCCATATAGGACGAGTTTTTCAAGGGCAATTTCATTATTATATTATATTATAAAGTAGCCGTATAGGACGAGTTTTCAAGGGAACAATTACAGTATTATATTATGTTATAAAGTTAAAGGGTTCATATGTATAGAATATTATTAAAGGCTATTGAAATCATAGTCAGGTGAGGAGTAAAATATTATTATAATTTAATTAATTTGAGAGAATGGAAGTTGCAGTATGGTTGTATGCCTCCTAGTTAACAGTTATAAATTAATTATGGTTGTATGGAATTGCACATATTAGTGCAATTTGTTATGCAATTATGGCAATTATGAGTGAATTATTAGAAGGAGTAAAGTACTGGTAATTGCATGTTGATATGCAAGAAGTGAATTGCATAATGTAGGAAGATCTTAACGTTCCTTAGATTATTATAAATATAATTATTATTGTTATTATATGTGGGCATAACAATATATACTTATTTAACTACTATATATTTTAATAATAATTAAAATACTAAAGAATTTGGTGTTAAAGTAGTGGAAAATTGGATGCACTAAGTTCTGTACATCTAATGTATGCATATGCTATAATTTGCATATGATATAGTTAAGTTGCTGTTGGTTCGTAGCCACTGGTTCTGTGACCATTGGCATTCATTTTTACATATTGATATCATTTTCTTACCTTATAAACTATTTTTATATATATATTAAGATAGGTAGCTAAGTATTAGGTGTATTGAATTATTTAAATTCCATTAATGTTATACTAAATGGGGGAAATTAAATTTACCCTTTAGTTTGAACTTTATGAAATTATTTATAGAATTAGGTGAACTTTTGGGTCTAGACTAGATAAAGAATAATATGAGTATTCCTAGACTCGTTAACTTATAAATTATGCACACATAATTGATAGATTGGAAGGGTTCGGAGGCATCGAGGAAAGGAAAAGCATTGAAGGACTAGTTTCTTGACTTCGATTCTTCGGTGGAGGTAGGTTATGGTTTATTCTATTCGATAATAAACTCTTAATAGTGACTGATATGCATTGAATGATATTGTGAAGTTTCCTATGTACTTAATTGTGTGATTGTGTGGCTTGGTCGTGTGTTTTGTAATTGGTCTGAAATCCCGAGACCATGAAATGTATAATCTTAAACCACCTCTATCGAAGTAAGGCCTTGAATAAAGAAGGCTCGATGAAATATTATTAACGAATGAAAAAGTGGTGATATTAAATGATAAACTAACGATATTTTTGGATCGACGTGTCACGTTCTGACACGGTATTTTTTGGATCGGAGTGTAACATTTCGACACGGTATTTTTGGATCGGAGTGTCACATTCCGACACGGTATTTTTAGGATCGGAGTGTCACGTTCCGACACGATTTTTGGATCGGAGTGTCATGTTCTTACACGGTATTTTTTTATCGGAGTGTCATGTTCCGACAGGATATTTTTGAATCGGAGTGTCACGTTCCGACACGATAATATTAAAGGAAAAATATGTTTAATTAATGAAAGATACTCAATCTCAAAAGAACTCAACTCCCAAAATGGTTTGGTTTGGAGGCATGAGTCCTCATGTGTGATCTTGATATCATTGACTTATTACGAGCTTACTTTAATGTTGTTGATACTTGTTCATGTTGTTTGTTGTTTATCTCCTGTTAAGTGCTATAGTTGAGTTCATACTATTATTTATTGTATATTAGTTCCTATTTTGTGTTGGCCGATGATATCTACTCAGTACATGTTGCCCCGTACTGAGTCCTACTTGTGTTTTTCTTTGTTTTCCTTTTATGAAATGCAGCGAGTGTACCTATGACGTCAGATTTCCCTATGCTTTAGCCAGCCTCCCGCATATCAAGTTCCACGGTGAGCTATTCATTCATTCTCGTGTTGGATTCTTTCGGTCATGACATGATGTCCTATACTTTCGGACACATACCATTTTATTCATTTATTTTAGTGTCTTTGATACTCTTAGACTTCGTAATTAGAGATTAGATGTCCTTGTTGTGATGACTTTCAGGTTTTCGAAAATGATAGTTAATAAATTTTGGAGCTTCCACAATATTTTGTTTCTCACAGTTGAATTATTGGTACAGGTTGGAATTTGAATTTCTTGGTTCGTCCACCTAGGTAGTTAAGTGTGGATGCCACTCACGACTCGTGTTGGGTCGTGACATTATTTCTCCTATAATTATTTCTTTTTCCGTTGTTTCTTCATTTATGTTTACTATCTCACTAGGTAATCCAGGGCATATGTGTCCTGTTTTTATAATTTCTTCTTCTAATACTAACTCTCTTGTTATATATTTTTCTTCTTGTCCTGTATTTATCAAAATTTTATATTTTCTTTGGTCCATTATTCCTGTTATGAAATAATGATATGGTGATATTTCTTCCTCAACTAATAAGTTTTGTGGGATTTCATAGTTTCTTTTAGATGTACTCATTCTTGATGAGGTAGCTCTTGTTAACGTATTTGGTACACTTGAAGTACTTAATCTTTCTTTTACAATTTCTAAATTTTCTTCCATGTCAATTTCTTTATAGCTATAGTCATTATTGTCTATTACAGTAATTATTTTTTCGAAAGAATTTTCTATCTTTATTTTATCAATTTTGTTTTTTGCTATTATTTTATGTTTTGTTGTTAATATATATAAGTTTTTACATCTTGCTGTAAATATTTTACTGCATGGTGCTAACTCTATTGCAGACATTTTCCAATATAATGCTAATAATTTATCTATATTTGTGTCCGTTAATGCTACCGTATAATTGTCACTTATTATAAATTTAAATTTTTGGTATATTAAGTTTCCTTTTATTGCACTAATTACACTTTTTTTATAGGGTGTATGATTCTGTCATCTGCTAAGTATATTTCAATAGGCGTATCTATTCCTTTTTGAAAACAGGCTTTTATTAATATTTCTGTTCCTCCTAAATGTACATATTTTATAGGTGTTTTAGCTTTTATATGTCACAACCCAAAACAAGTCGCGAGTGGCACCCACACTTATCCTACTATGTGAGCGAACCAACCAATCTGAACCCCAACATTCCAATCATAATAAACAGAAAATAATGCGGAAGACTTAAAACTTATTAATATAACCAATAAATAACTTCTAAAACTCAATACTTATTATTCTTAAAATTTGGAAGTCATCACCACAAGAACATCTATCCTCAACTTACTAAATCTAAGACTATCTAAGAAGCTAAAATAACTAAACAGCTAGTCCATGCCAGAACTTCAAGGCATCAAGACGTGAAGAAGAAGATCCAATCCAAGCTAGAAACAATAGCTCACCTTGAAATCTGATGTGATGAAGACTGGCTAGAGTTGCGGTTGAGTTGAAGACGACGGTACGTTTGCTGCACTCCACAAATAACAAAGAAAGAAACATACAAGTAGGGGTCAGTACAAGGCACAAGTACTGAGTAGGTATCATCGGCCAACTTAAAATAGAGAGCAATATACATCAAATAATATCATAAAATCAACTACAATACTCAACAGTTGACAACAACAAGTACCATAACCATTGGCCACAACTCAAGCACATCTATAACGACTCACGCCTCCACACTATACTCGTTTGGGAAATAGGTTCTTTAAATTGAGTATATTAACATAATTCAAGATTCATTCTTTTTACTATCCTAGTGTCGGAACGTGACACTCCGATCCTCTTCATACTATCTTGGTGTCGGAACGTGACACTCCAATCCACTAATACTATCCTGGTGTCGGAACGTTACACCCGATCCACTAATACCATCGTTGTGTCGAAATGTGATACCTGATCAATTAATACTATCCTGGTGTCAGAACGTGACACCCAATCCACTACAAAAATCTTGATGTCGGAACGTGACACCCGATCCATTAATACTATCGTGGTGTCGAAACGTGACATCCGATCCATTAATACTATCCTGGTGTCGAAACGTGACACCCGATCCATTAATACTATCATGGTGTCGGAATGTGTAACGACCCGTTTAGTCGTTTTAAGCAATAGACTCCAATTCTAGAAAAACTGGCAGAAGCGACGGACCCCACGACGGGACGTCATGGGCACGACGGAACGTCATGGGCACGATGGACCGTCGCAGGGTCTCGTTTCTAAACACTTAGAAATTCTGAAATTTGGGTGCTGAAATCGACTCTCTGAACTCTGTGACGGACACGCAGGACGGACCGTCATACGCACGACGAACCGTCGTGATCCACCGTTCCAAAACACTTCAACTCTTGAAAATTTGGTACAGGGAACGACTCTCTGAACTTCGTGACGGAATGGCAGGACGGACCGTCACAGGCGTGACGGACCGTCATAGATTGTTCAGTGGAAATTGACTCTCTGACCCTTGCGACGACCTGTAGGATGGACCGTCGCAGGCACGACGGCCCGTCATAGGTTGTGCAAATCCCAGGCAAAATCGGATTTCCTTACACATTTTAAGGGACGTTTTTGGACTATTCTTTCCTTAATTATAGATTTCGTGGGTTTATATTAATAACTCAAATTCTTGGGGGTTAATAGAGGTAACCCTAAGTTAATTAGTGGGGTATTATTGCCATCTTTTATTCTTAATTATATAATAATTAGGGTAAAAGAAAGAGGGTTTGAATAAGAAAATAGAC